CTCTATAATGCTAATAAGGGAGGATGGGCGGCAGTTGTCTTAGTGAGGCAGGACTCAATCTACAAGATTGGATTGTGTCTTGAGGCAATCTCTTGAGATATAAGAGAGAGAAGCTAGCAGAGAGACAGGGGGACCTCATACCACCAAGAAAGCAGTGCCAGGAGCGGAGTGCGTCCTTTGGACCCAGGGTGGCTGCACAGAGAAGCTCCTAGCCCAGGGGAAGATTGATGAGAAGGCTGACAGAGAGAGAAAGACTTCCCCTGGAGCTGACACCCTGAATTTGGACTTTTAGCCTACTTTACTGTGAAGAAATAAATTTGTCTTTGTTAAAGCCATCCACTTGTGGTGTTTCTGTTATAGCAGCACTAGATGACTAAGACAGTCACTATGAGTCGCAACCCACCTGAAGGCAAATAACAACAATAACAACAACACAGTGACTTTGTTTTTGTCTGTGCTTAGACAAAATTATGAAGCAGCCGTATTATGTCTCATTTTATCATTGTCTCAGAGTTTCCTTGTCTGAAGTTGGTATTCTGTGAGACTGTTTATGTCTAATTAGGAGAATTAATGGCCTGTGAGTGCTAGAAAAAACCCATTGCCGCTGAGTTGATTCTGACTCACAGCAACCCTACAGGACAGAGTAGAGCTGCCTCATAGGGTTTTCAAGGAGTAGTTGATGGATTTGAACAGCTGGCCATTTGGTTAGTACCCAAATGCTTAATTACTGTGCCACCAGGGTCCCATGAGTGCTAGACTAACTTCCAAATGTCAGAGGCTGCTCTTTTTTTCTTTCTAATTTATTGCATTCTTTCCCATGTTTGTTGTCGTTAGGCACCTTCGAGTCAGCTCCGACTTATTTAGACCCTGTGTACAACAAAACGAAACACTGCCTATTCCTGCACCATCCTCACAATCACTGTTATGCTTGAGCCCATTGTTGCAACCACTGTGTCAATCCATCTCGTTGAGGGTCTTCCTCTTTTTTGCTGACTCTCCACTTTACCAAACATGATCTCCTTATCCAGAGACCATTCCCTCCTGGTAACTTGTCCAAAGTTTGTGAGCTGAAATCTCTCTATCCTCGCCTCTAGGGAGCATTCTGGCTGTACTTCTTCTAAGACAGATTTGTTTGTTCTTCTGGTAGTCCACGGTATATTCAATATTCTTTGCCAACACCATGATTCAAAGGCTTCAATTCTTCTTTGGTCTTCTTTATTCATTGTCCAACTTTTGCATGTATACGAGGCTATTGAAAACACCCTGGCTTGGTTCAAGTGCACTTTAGTCTCTAAAGTGACATCTTTGCTTTTTAACACTTTAAAGAGGTCTTTTGCAGCAGTTTTGCCCAACACCATGTGTCATTTGATTTTTTGTCTGCTGCTTCCATGGGTGTTGATTGTGGATCCAAGTAAAATGAAATCCTTGACAACTTCAACCTTTTCTCCATTTATCATGATGTTGCTTATAAGTTCAGTTGTGAGGATTTTGTTTTCTTTATGTTATGGTGAATCTATACCGAAGGCTGTAGTCTTTGATCTTTATCAGTAATTGCTTGAAGTCTTCTTCACTTTCAGCAAGAAAGACTGTGTCATCTGCATATAACAGGTTGTTAATGAGTCTTCCTCCAATCCTGATGCTTCGTTCTTCTTCATATAGTCCATTTTCTTGGATTATTTGCTCAGCATACAGATTGAGTAAGTATGGTGAAAGGATACAATCCTGACGGACACCTTTCCTGATTTTAAACCATGCAATATCCCCTTGCTCTGTTTGAACTACTGCCGCTTGGTCTATATACAGGTTCCTCATGAGGACAATTAAGCGTTCTGAAATTCCCATTCTTAACAATGTTATCCATAATTTGTTATGATCTACCCAGTTGAATGCCTTTGCATAGTCAATAAAACACAGGTGAACATCTTTCTGGTGTTCTCTGCTTTCAGTCAAGATCTATCTGACACAGCAATGATATCCGTGGTTCCACGTCCTCTTCTGAATCCAGCTTGAATTTCTCACAGTTCCCTTTCAATGTACTGCTGCAATCGCTTTTGAATGATCTTCAGCAAAATTTTACTTTTGCATCATATTAATGATATTGTTCGATAATTTCCCCCATTCTGTTGGATCACCTTTCTTTGGAATGGGCACAAATATGGATCTCTTCCAGTTGGTTGGCCAGGTAAGTCTATCTTCCAAATTTCTTGGCATAGATAAGCTAGCCATTTCCAGCACTGCATCCTTTTGTTGAAACATCTCCATTGGTATTCCATCAGTTCCTGGAACCTTGTTTTTCATCAATGCCTTCAATGCAGCTTGGACTTCTTCCTTCAGTACCATCGGTTCTTGATCATACGCTACCTCCTAAAATGTTTGAATGTCAACAATTTTTTTTGGTACAGTGACTCTGTATTCTATCTTCTTTTGTTGCTTCTTGCATCATTTAATATTTTGCCCATAAAATCTTCAATATTGCAACTCGAGGCTTAATTTTTCTTTTCAGTTCTTTCAGCTTGAGAAATGCTATGCATGTTCCTCCCTTTTGGTTTTCTAACTCTAGGTCTTTGCATATTTCATTGTAATACTTTACTTTGTCTTCTTGAGCTGCCCTTTGAAATCTTCTGCTTCATGAAGTAAAATCTTTTACTTCATCATTTCTTCCATTCACTCTAGTTACTCTAGTTCAAGAGAAAGTTTCATCCATTTTAGTCTTTTCTTTCATTCCTATCTTTTTAATCACTTCTTTCTTTCTTCATGTATGATGTCATTTCACAACTCTTCTGGTCTTTGGTCATTAGTGTTTAATGAGTCAAATCTACTCTTGAGATAGTCTCTAAATTCAGGTGGAATATACTCAAGGTCATATTTTAGCTCTTGTGGCCCTGGCCTTATTCTGAATGAAGTTATTGAGATTTTCCATCATCTCTTCTCGCAGATGTCATCGATTTGATTCCTGTGTATTCCATCCAGTGAGATCCATGTGTATAGTTGCCATTTATGTTTGTGAAAAAAGTTATCTGCATTGGTTTCATAAAATTCTACCATGCAACGTCCAGCTTCATTTCTATCATCAAGGCCATATTTTCCAGCTTCTGTTCCTTCTTCTTTGTTTCCTACTTTCACATTCCAATAACTAATAATTACCAATGCATCCTGATTACATGTTTGATCAATTTCAGACTGTAGAAGTTGGTAAAAATCTTCAATTTCCTTATCTTTGACATTAGTGGTTGGTGCATAAATTTGAATAATAGTCTTATTAACTGGTCTTACTAGTAGGGGTACGGATATTATCCTATTGCTGACAGGACACATCTAGTACTTCACGATAGATCTTGAAATGTTCTTTTAAACGATGAATGCAACCTCATTCCGCTTCTATTTGTCATTCCTGGCATAGTAGACCATTTGACTGACCAATTCAAAATGGTCCATGCCAGTCCATTTCAGCTCACTAACGACTAGAGCATTCCACTTCATTTTTGACAATTTCCCATTTTCCTAGATTCATTCTTCCTACATTCCATATTCCTATTACTGGATGTTTGCAGCTGTTTCTTCTCATTTTGAGTCATGCCGCTTCAGCAAATGAAGGTCTTGAAACCTTGACTCCATCGACGTCAGTATGGTCGACTCTGATTTGAAGAGGTAGCTCTTCCCCAGTTGTATTTTGGGTGCCTTCCAACCAAAAGAGCCCATCTTCCGGCACTGTATCAGACAATGTTCTGCTGCTGTTCATAAGATTTTCATTGGATAATTTTTTCAGAAGTAGACCGTCAGGTCCTTTTTCCTAATCTGTCTTAGTCTAGAAGCTCAGCTGAAACCTGTTCACTGTGGGTGAACCTGCTAGTATTTAAAATACCAGTGACATAACTTCCAGCATCACAGCAACACGCAAGCAACCATGGTTCGACAAACTGACAGATGTATAGGGTCCCATGATATAAATACCAAGAAATAACTGAAGCTATGAGAGGTTAAGTGGCTCACGAAGTTTATGCAGGTGCTAAATGGAAGTCCTGAGTCCAGGCAGCTTAGGAATCTTTACTACCTACCCCACCTCTGGGAAGGGGGAGACAACCTATAAAGCAAAATACTGCTCAGTCTTGGACCCAATGACTATATAAACGGCCGCCTTAGTTCTTATCAGGAGCCCGGTGGTGCAGTGGTTAAGCACTCAGCTGCTAACTGAGAGGTCAGCGGTTTAAAGCATCCGCTCTGTGGAAGAAAGATGTGGCAGTCTGCTTCCATAAATATTTACAGGCTTGGAAACCCTATTGGGTATTTCTACCCTGTTCTATAGGTCCCTACGAGTAAGAATTGATGCCATGGCAATGGATTAATGGGTGGTTCTTATCACGAATTGATCACTAAGTGCTGATTTCCAGTGAAATGAAGTGCACCCACCAAAGTGGAAGTTAATAGTTATTAAAGCGTCGGGTCAAGGGAGTGAGGCCTAGCCAAGGTCAGAACTTAGATTTCTCCTGCTCTGGAATGGCAAATCATGGAAAGAAAGAAATTTTAAGATACAGTGGTCTCTATTATCAAGGAAAATTAGTTAAGTCTTGCCTCATTCTACTTCACGGAATTCTACTTCTCTGGAATTCTGGAGCATTTCTATAATGACATAGATTTTCTCCAGAAAATGTACAGAGCATAACTGAATCATATATGTTGAGACATGAATTTCAGGTCAAAAGTTCAGCCTGATGTCCTGATAAATTTAGAGAACACTAAGAATCCAAATAAAAGCAACTCTAAAGACTCATCAGAACAGCCCATACAGGACAGCATTAGAATGTACTAGAGAATAAGGGCAAAATCAACAGTTATTTCCATTGAATTCAGCAAGTAAAAGGGATCCATAAAATCCCCTTACTCACCAGGCGGGCCCCCTTTTGTGTTGTTCTTGCCAACGCAGCAGCCATCCGGCTATATAGAACCGCTGCTGCTGCCGCCGGCCGGTCACACTACACTCGCATCATCTCTGTCAACCAGCCATGGGAAAGGTGAGCAGATCACAAGCTAGACAGAAAGAAAGTGGGGGGAAAAAACAGCTTCTATACAAAGTCTACGAAGCCCTGGTGGTGCAATGCTTAAGCACTTAGTAGCTAACTGAAAAGGTCAGAGTTTCAAACCCACCAGCTGCTCCATGGGAGAAAGATGTCGCAGTCAGCTTCCATAAAGATTTACAGCCTTGGAAACCCTCTGAGGTACTCATACTCTGTCCTCTAGGGTGACCATAAGTCAGAATGGACTGCACAGCAATGGGTTTTGTTTGTTTGTTTTAATACAAGGTCTAAGGAGGCTTGGAAACTCAATGGTTAAGTCCTCACTACTAACAAAAAGGTCGGCGGTTTGAACCCACCCAGCAGCTCCTCCGGAGAAAGAGCTGGTGATCTGCTCCCTTAAGGTTACAGCCTAGGAAACCCTAGGGGCAGTTCTACTCCATCCTATAGGGTCACTATAAGTGGAAATCGACTCTATGGCACACAGCAACAATTGTTGGCAATTACTGACTTATGTTTTTCTTTCATTGTGCAAGAGAAGGTCTATTGAAATCAAGTGATAATTTGGGATTATCTTCCCTTTGCAGATCACCTTCTATGAGGACCGGGGCTTCCAGGGTCACTGCTATGAGTGCAGCAGCGACTGTCCCAACCTGCAGATCTACTTCAGCCGCTGCAACTCCATCCGGGTGGACAGCGGTTGCTGGATGCTCTATGAGCGTCCCAACTACCAGGGGCACCAGTACTTCCTGCGCCGGGGCGAGTACCCCAACTACCAGCAGTGGATGGGCCTTAACGACTCGATCCGCTCCTGCCACCTCATCCCCCAGGTGAGTGTGGCTTCGTTTTGGATCCCTTTGGGAATGAAAGTCATTTAAAAATATCATTCTTAAACTACATAGTCCAATTAGACAGCAGTAGAAAGTGGAAGTGACGTTAATGCATGCAGCCCAGCCTAGGTGGTGCCTCAGGTGTGAGGCTTTTTTCATGAACTCTGTGGTATTGTCTTTTCATTATATGTTCCCTAACTTTATATGTTAAATGTAATAAAAAATTACACGCCTGAAAGACTAATTAAGAAAAAGCAGGGCATGAAAGAGACTGAAATTACCATCTGTTCAAGATGTAATTTCAACTAATAGTTGGGATGGGTACACAACATGGTAAATGTAATTACTGTCAGTACACACTTAAAAGGTTGAAATGGCAAAGATTTGTTATATATATTTCGCCACCAAAAAAAAAAAAACAAAAAAACATGTAATTTCCTTAAGTGGTCATTCCAGGTCATTTCAACCTAGAAGCCCAACATATCAAAATTTATAAATACAATCTGTGACTGTTTCATTGATTTGAAATACTTTTGCTTAAACCTCTATTTGATTATTCTTTCCAGAGACTATGGGCCCGTATGTATGGTTTCTAGTTCTAATTTAGTGGTCAATTTCTATTGGCTCACTTTGAGGTATAAACTAGCAGGAAGACTGTTTTAGTTATCAAATGCTGCTATAACAGAAATACCACAAGTGGGTGACCTTAACAAATAGAAACTTATTTTCTCACTGTGTGGGAGGCTAGAAGTCCAAATTTAGGGCACCAGCTCTAGCGGAAGGCTTTCTCTGTCTGTGAGCTCTGGGGGAAGGTTCTTGTCTCTTTTCAGCTTCTGCTCCCTGGTTCCTTGGTGGTCTTCATGTGGCCTGGCATCTATCTTTCCCCATCTCTGCTTGGTTGCCTGGTTGCTTGCTCAGTCTGCTCTTTTTATATCTGAAAAGAGATTGACTTAAGACACACCCTATGCTAATACTTCCTCATTAACAAAAAAAAAATAAAAAAACATTCTCAAATGGGATTATAGCCTCAGGTGTAAAGCAAAAAACACATTGCCATGGATTGGATTCTGACTCATAGGGACCCTATGGGACAGAATAGAAACTGCCCCATAGGGTTTCTAACGCTGTAATCTTTACAGAAGCAGACTGCCCCGTATTTCTCCCGCAGAGTGGCTGTGGGTTCGAACCACCTCCCTTCCGGTTGGCAGCCAAGAACGTTAACCACTGTGCCACCAGATCTGCAATACATATTTTTGGGGACACATTCAATCCATAGCAATGGCCATGAACAAAAGTGAACTTTGAGGTTCAATATTTTCTGGGGAGTGATTGCAGTGTTCTTAGAAGAGGGGAATATGGGAGGCATGTGTCAATAAAACAGAGTTTAATGAAGATAATTCTTGTTGCTGGGAGAAAATTAATAAACTGAGGGTAAGAGGCCACAGAGGAAGCTCAAGAATCAGGTTGGAATTTGAACTGAAC